GAACCTAAAGCACAATTTTCAAGTGAACATGTAATCTTACCTAAGACATCTTTCTCGTGCTCGGGAACAAGTACTTTCCACTTAGATTCATCAGGGTCCATGAAGTCTATGTTGATCAGGCGGTAGTTGGGAGAATGGCGATTTGTCTTGAATGTGAACACTGTCCCCTCATTGGTTACATAGTCATATTCTCCGTCAAAGTTGTCTATTAGCTTTACCCACTTCAGAATTCCTGGTAAAAGATCAAGCATACCTGTTATCTATCTCCTCAATGTTTAAAGATGGTGTTTATGTGGGGAAGTGGGCAGGTAGGAAATGGCGGATCTTGTCTATCTATAAACACAAAGTAGAGACAATGTTTGGACGATCTGAGGACAAGTTGTGTGTAAATTAAATGATCAAAAAAAAAAAAAAGTGCTAAGGAGTTCCAGAGAAAGCTGGCCATGAGGGAGAGTGAAGGATCTCTTCCTCCGCCCCATCCTATATGTACTTGGTAAATTCTCTTCCACTTGAGCATGAATCAAATCTGACCACTTCTCTCTACTTCTACCACCATCTCACCACTTCACATTTTCACAATTTCTCTTCTGGTCAACCAGAGCTGATTGCACCTCAAAGGACATTTGGCAATAGCTGGAGTTATTTTTCAATTCTCCTAACTGTGGGTGGGGGCAGTGGGTGCTACTAGCACCTAGTGGGTAGAGACAAGGGGTGCTGCTAAACATCTGCAATGTACAGGACAGCTTCCCACAACAAAGAATTACCTAGCCAAAATGTCAACAGTGTTGAAGCTGAAAACCCTGCCCTACAGCATCAGTTCCCCACCTGGTATTACCACTGCAACCCTCGATTGTGATGGTCTGAGAGTCACCACAACGTCTAAACATCCTAAATCAGTCCCTATTAGTGCCTTTTTTCAGAAATCTTCAATGACTTCTCTATTATACTTTGAATAAAATCCAAATACCTTTTCATGGCCTCCACCTCCCTGCATGTTGCAGTCTTTGCCCACTTAGCCAGTCTGAGTTTGTTCCAATTCTCATCTCATCCTGTCTTTCATTGGCACTGGCCTGTTAGATTTCTTACAATGGGTCTTCAGAGATTTGATACAGGCTGTTTCCTTTGCCTGCCCCAGCCTCAAATGGCAAGCCACAGCTAATTGGTACCCAGTACATTTCTCCACAACACTGCTCTCAACACACAAGTCTATACTTTACTAGTTTGTTCAGTATTTATCCTTTTATTCACTATTTCATACTCAGACCCTAAATAGAGTGACAGGTACTTCACCCTTTAGTTCTATGATTTACTCTGGAAATGACTATCACTTAAAAAACAAAAACTCAGACTTAACTTTCAAATATTAAGTAAAACAAAAACACAGAGAAAACACCATTCCTCACAACGTATCTGACACTGGTGTTCAAAGAACATCTGAAAAGTTTTATGGACAAGAAAGTACTCTGACTTCTAAACTAACAAAAGACAGAGCAGGGTCTTAGATATTCTCCAATCATCTCCTACTTTCAATTTCACAGTGAAATTGCTACACTAATTTGGAGAGTTCATTTATATTCTATGACTCTTTCAAAGTCATTTTACACTCATTACCTCATACGTCTTCATAGCATATATTTATATCATATATTTATATAATCCCAGGGTAGAGTAAAGTTTGTGGTTAGACATAAATAATGAAACCCCAGTCCCACTCCTACTGAGTTGTGTGACCTTGAGCAAACACTTATTTGCTTTAAATGGCATTTTTTCTATTGTAAACAAATAGTAAGTAAATGTCAAAATTATTATAAAGTTCCTACTAGTATCTAGACTTCTGGTGTGGTGCTGTATGAACAGCACTGGACGGTAAACTGAAAGGTCAGCAGTTCAAACCCACCAGCTGCTCCCAAGAAACCCTATACTTAAAACAACTAGTATCTAGCCCACAACAAATATTATTTTAAAATAAATGACTGGAATTAACACTAATAATAAGCAGCTTAAAAAAAAAAAAAGTCAATAGCTTTCCTACATACCAGGAAAACCCAGCTAGAAAACATGGAACAACTAAATACTTCATTCACAAAAGAAGCAAAAGTAATAAAATGCTTTGGAATGCACTTAACACGAAATGTGTCATCTATATAAAGAAAGCTCTAAAATAATTTTTAAGTAACCTAAAAAGTGCAATGAATAACTAGAAACAATACCATATCCCTAGATGGGATGACTAAGTATTTCAAAATGTAAATTAACCCCCAAAGAAACCTGAATATTAAGACAGCTATATGGTTTTCATGTGATACCTTGGACCAATTATTTTTCTCTTTCTCATTAGCTCTGTGGAATCTTCAAATGGCTATTCCTCCCCTCCCCTCAGCTTTTCTAATAGTCTTTGGCAGAAGGGTTGCTTTCAATTATGTAGTCTAAAACTTCTGGAAAAAATTTGCTCTTCTCTCCATGTCTTTTAACCTTTCTTATGTTTCTATTTCTTGGGGCAGCATTCTAGGTAATTTCCTTGCATCTATATTCTAGTCATGAATTCTCTCTTCGGTTGTATCTAATTTCCTCTTAAAGCTAAAAACTAAATGTTTAAAGTTAATGGTTATATAAGGATCCCTAGTAGCACAGTGGGTTACAAGGTGAGCTGCTAACTGAAAAGTAAGCAGTTTGACTCTACCAGATGCTTCCTGGAAGAAAGATGAGGTTTTCTAGTCCCATAAAGATTTACAGCCTGGGAAACGCTGTACAGGGTCGTCATGAGTTGGAACTGACCCCATAGCACACAACCACCACCACTAGTGGTTGTATATTTGATTTCTAAAGTTCTACTTAGTCCTTTTCCAAACTTATTCAGTGATTCTTGATAATAATTTTTACTTCCATGTTTTCAAACTTCTCATTTACTGTTTCCCCCAAACTGTTGTTGCTGTTAGGTGCAATCGAGTCGGTA